CGATGACTTTAATATAATGCTTATATATCTCAACCGTACAATTGTGCATTACTGAACCCAGAAGTAGTATTACTGAACCAGTGAGTTCTAGCAGCGGGTGGGGGCTGGTCCCCTCACCCTCCCTCAGCGTCACTTATATTTTATTTAATACTATACCCTCCCCTGCTTTATTTTCCTCCCCTGCTTTTTTATGGGCCCACTTTGGGGTCCTCTAAACCCCTGGCGGGGATATCCCCTACAGTCTCCCTGCAAACACCCCCACTGCTTCGGCTCAGCTGGTGAAGTGGGGCCTGGTGACGTACTTTTGCCAAGTGCAGCATCGGAACAAGCCCGGGCTACCCTTCCCAACAGATCACAGCCCTCCGGACACATTCCCACACAGAAAGTGGTCTCCCAGAGGCAGGTTGGTATCCGGCTGGGATTCCCTGTGTTACCCTGAGCTGCAGGGTTCTCTTCTCTGGCAGCACTATTTATTTCTAGTTCGTCTTTGTCTTTTTTTTTTATTAAAAGATCATTTTATTGGGGGCTCTTACAGCTCTTATAGCAATCCATACATCCATTGTATGAAGCATATTTGTACATATGTTGCCATCATTCTTTTCTAGACATTTACTTTCTATTTGAACCCTTGGTATCAGCGCCTCTTTTTGTCCCTCCCCCCCCCCATCCTCATGACTCCTTGGTAAATGATAAATTATATTATTTTCATATCTTACACCGACCGTTGTCTCCCTTCCCCCACGGGTTCTGTTGTTCATCTGCATAAAGGGACGCTTTCAGTAGGAGTGGAAGGACCTGGTGGCACAGTGGTTACTCTTTGGGCTGTTGACTCACAGGGTCAGCAGTTCGCATCCACCAGCCACTCCTTGGGAGAAGGACAGGGCTTCCTACTCCGTGGGAGAGTTACCGACTTGGAAACTCCCAGAGGCATTTCCACTCTGCCCTGGAGGATCCTTGTGATCACTGTGAGCGGGACGGACTCGATGGCAGTGAGGTCCTGGATATAGATCGAGGGACTGCACGGCGGTAGCACAAAGGGACGCAGACACAGACAGGGAACTTTTGGAGCCATAGCTTTATTTATCCTCCACGGGCCCACCCCCACACCCCCGTACCCCTGCCCCGGCTCAGAAGATGCGCACGGACTGCAGCTGCACGTCGCCGCCCACCTCCAGCAGGCGCACTCTCGCCAGCGGCATCCGGTGCCGAAAGTGGTGATATTCCGAGTCGCCGACCACAGCCTGCAAGGACAGGCCCCCCAGTTAGACACGTGGTCCGCAGGTTCTCACCCGAACGCTTTGTGACCCCGGGCTAGTCAGCGCATCCGCAGGGCCTCGGCTGCCCCCTCTGGCACTCAGCGCCGAGGCTGAAGCCACGGTTATTTGCTTGTGGTGGAAGTGACCCCTCCCCTTGGGGCATTTTCCTGGACCCTGCCTCCCACCCCACCCTTTCTCCAGAGCAGAGCCCTGATGATCCGGGGGCGTTGGGCAGGGAAAGGGATGGCCAGCCTGGGGGCCACACCCCTCTGTGGACGCCACTTCTGCTCCTCCAGCCTTGGTCCCGCTTGGTCCCTGGAGGCATGGTCTACATTGAGAGGTGGTCTGGGGTGGTCCCTGCCAGGTCTTGGCCACGCCTTGCATCCCCACTGCCACCCTGCGGGCCAATCCGGCTCAGCACAGTGTCGCCAGAGGGCCCCACCCCACACCCCCAGCCTGGCGAGCTCACCTTGAAGCCCTCCTCGGTGGCGATGAGCAGCACTTCGAAGGGCTGCCCGCGGTTGAAGGGAAGGCCCTGCCCGCGCTCCTCGCGGCCCCAGGAGCCCTTCTCCTTGCTGTTGAACACCACCTCGGACATGTCCAGCCGCGGGTTGAAGTGCAGTGCGGCGTCGGCGTCCTGGCCCTCGCTGCACAGCAGGTTCACGTGGAACCTGGACGAGAGGGCAAGGCGGGCATCAGGACCTCCCAAACAGGTCAAGGTCCAACTTTGGGAGGGTGGGCGGTGTTGTGGCTCATCCCCAGGGCACCCCCAGTGTCACAGGACTTTGCAAAGTAGAGCTTCAAGCCCCCAGTCTCCGTGGAAGGGGGTGGACTGATGGGCCAGAAAGCCTGGCTCTCCAGACCATCCAAGATTTCCAGGGGACCTGGGCACACATCCTCTCAGACCAGGAGTCCTTGGTTCCCCAAGGCTCTGGGACTTCCCAAGACGTGGTATTAACGATTAGGATACCCCCAAGTCACAAGAAGCCCTCTTCCCAGAAGGCAAAGAACCACAATCAGGGACCCCCAAATTTCCCCGACAGCCCTAGACCCAGAGAGTCATGGGGGCTGCTTGCCAAGAACTTTCAGATGCCCAGAGCCCCTGACAATCGATAGTTTATTAGGAGTTAGATTAAAAAATCATAGCAACCCTAAGATTGCCCTGGAATCCCCAAGTTCCCTAAGGGTGGCTGGTGGACTCCCAAGTCATGCAGTCCTGGGATGAGCAGGCAGAGCCACCCAAAGGTCAGCAGATTGGGTGTGGAGGCCCGGGAGGCCACGACTCCTATAGACAGAGATGGGGTTGGTGAACCCCAGCCTCTTGGCTGCAGGAACTCAGGGGTGGCTGAGTCTGGCGTGGGGTGGGGTGGAGGGACTCCCACCCCTCGTGGTTGGGTTCTGAGTCCTCACCTGCCAGCATTAAGGGGTACCAAGCCTCGGATCCTCAGCACGTTGCCTGCTCGGATGCCCTGGGGCAGGGAGGTCTTGTGGGGGATGTTCTGCAAGAGGAGGGCATTGCGACCCAGGGTGAGCCAGAGACAGAAGATGTAGTAAAAGAAAGAACAGGGCAGACGCCAGCGGAAAATAGACAAAGGCAGAGATGGGGATGGAGGGCCGAGACCCGGAGAGAGAGGGAAAGAAGAGGAGAGAGAAGCCGTCCGGACACACACACACAAACAAATACATGACTGAAGATGAGAACCCAAGAGGGAACCACAAGCAGGGAGATTGGGAGACCTGGGCTGGGGGAGGGTGGTACCCCAGGGGCCCCAATGCCTCCCCATGCCCAGTGGCTCCTTTCCAACTGGACATCTCTGCCAGCCTCAGCCTCAGCCCCTGGCATGGCCCAGCCCGCAGACGGTGGGTCCCCAGCCCCTCCTGCAGGCTCACCATGCTCTCCGCCATGGCACCAGGATGAGATGGGCAGTGGTGGTGGAGGGTAAAGCCGGGAGGCCCTTAAGACAAAGAGGGGTGGGCCCAGCCCGGGTGACTCACCACCCCTTCCCCGCCCACCGCCCACACCTGGCACAGACCCCGGCCCTGGGGCCAAACTGGCACTTCACCACGTCCCGGGGTCCCTGACCCCCCTCCATTCACTGGGAGTTCCCGCGTCCACGACTTGGTCTCCTTCGGGCTGGCAAGACATAATGGGGACAGTCCCTGCGGCTTCAGGGCCAGCCTTCCCGCTGCCTGGCAGAGGGGACACTTGGTCCATTTTATACCCAGGAAAGTGGGGTTGGCAGAGGCTAAGGTGTTGAACCCCCTCCCTCTGTAATAGGGATAGCCATGACACCACCATGCGTGCCTGCCTTGTTCACCCCCGTACCCCAGGTGCCCTGATCTGCTGCCCCACTGTCTAGACTTGCAGGGGTGCAGAGATGTCCTAGGATCAGCCCCCTACTCAGACTGAGACATCCCACTGAGGAATCTAGGGAGGGGAGGGGGCAGACTGAGATGTCACATTGGTTCTGAAAGGGTGGGGTGAGCTTGGCAGAAACCACACCTAACAGTCTTCCCTGCTTCCCACCTCTCC